CATTGATCATCACTGTTACAGCCATAAAGACTCAGAACAGTACATGCGAAAGCTTGTCAGACTAAAACCCCACCTACGGTCATGTGAATTATTTACTTCATTTAAAATACACTAAGCCTGACAAAATACTCAGGAGAGAGTTAAAAGACCTCAATAAATGGAGATATATACTTTGTTCATAGATCAGAAGACTTGATATTAAGATGTTCATTCTCTCCAAATTGATCTACAGATTCAATGCAACCTCAGTGAAATTCAGTCCCAGCAAGATTTTTTGTAGATACTGACAAGGTGATTCTAAAATTCAGAAGGAAATGCAGAAGACCTGCAATAGCCAAAACAATCTTGAAAAAGCCAAACAAAGTTGGAGGGCTAACGCTAACCTTTCTAAATAATTCATTTCAAACTACAGTAATCAAAACCGTGTGGTTCTTCAGATCACATAAATAGATCAATGGAACAGAATTGAGAGTCGAGAAGTAAATCCAACTATATATGGACAACTAATATTTTAAAAGGTGTGAAAGCAATGCTGTGGAGAAAAGGATACTCAACAGATGGTGCTGGAACAACCAGAAAACCATGTATTTCTTTTTTCTAAAAAGGAACTTGGTTCCATCCCTTGCATCACATACAAAACTTAACTTAAAATATATCGTACACTTAAATGTAAATTTTAAAATTTTAAAAATATACACTTCTAGAAGAAAACACAAGAGGAAAATTTTGTGACATTGGATTAAGCAACGATTTTTTTGATACAACAGCAAAAACATGATTCCTAAAAGAGCAGACTGATAAACTGTACTCTGTCAAAATTTAAAAACGTCTGCTCTTCAAAGTAAGATTGCTGAGAGAGTGAAAAGACAAAGCCAAGAATGGTAGAAAATCTCTGCCAAGCATATATCTGATATAGGACTGGTGCACAGAACATATAAGAAACTCTCAAAACCCAGCAATAAGAAACTCTCAAAACCCAGCAGCCCAATTTTAAAACTGGGCAACAGATTTGAACATAACTTGCCCCTGCACCCCTCACCCTACCTCCCTCCATCCCTTTATATCTGTCTTTTCATTAGCGCACTTACTAGTGTTTGAGAGTTTGACATTGTTGACTATGTCTCAACTGGAACATAAGCTGTTGGGACCTGTCCGTCCTGTTCGCTGCTGGGTGCCCCACTCATAGGAGAGTGTCCAGCACTCAGTCGGAACTCAGGCAGTATTTCTTGAATTAAGTGAGGTGCACAAGGCCATGTTGAGTTACTGGAAAAGCCATGCACTCTGGGTGGGAAATCCCCGTTTAAGATGCCCTGAGCATTCAGCGTCCAGGGAGTGAGTAGACATCAGCTGATTTATTGTTAAAAGGGCTGGCTTCATGGTCCTGCTGGACCTGAAGTACCAGACTCCATCATTCACCACACCACAGCCACGGTGAACTTCCTCCTTTTCCTTGAACACCCCAGCCACTTCCTGCCTCTGGATCATTGCCTTTGCTGCTGCTCCTTTCCACTGCCTTTCACCAGGAGTGTCCCCTGCTTATCTTCCCATCAAGAACCCTCCCCAACTGTCTTACTAGAGACCCTGAAGCCCCTACCCGGCTCTAACAGTTCTGAGGTTTACAGAACACCTAAGGCTGCCTGAACTACCTTGTTTATTTTTCAGCTTGATTATTATTAGACTTCTCTAGACGGCTGGAAGGCCTGTGGGAGACCATGTGTATCTTGTCCATCGCTGGACCTCCAGTGTGGAACAGAGCCCCATACACACCTGTGGCTCAGTGATACACACGTGTCTGCCGTTCAGCACTTTACAGATCCTCACCCTTGATCTTCCCACTGACAACAGACACTCACCCCCATTTTACATATGGATAAATTCACAAATCAAGAGCCTAATAGTTTGTCCAGTTTCATACCGCCAGGGAGAGTAGTGGTTTCTGCAGACAAAGATGGGAAATGGGTTTGTAGAGCAGAAGGACCAAGTAGACCAGTAGTTCCCTGAGAAAAATAGATCTTATTGTCCTTTTATCTGCAGCTGCTAGAACAGTGCTTGGCACTCACCCTGTATATAACAACTATTGAGTGAAGTGAGCTAATGGATTGCGAGATTCGATCTGGGGGAGCAGGATGATCTGAAAGACACTAGATCACTGAGAGTGGTTGGCAGCCCCGGCATCAGAAAGAGGTTTCTGAGGTAAAGGTCCACTCCAGACTGTCCTGCCCCAAGGCCCTGAGCATGTCCTGAACCATGGCTTTGAAGGAGCTAGACCGCCATTCTTGAATATGACCCAGCTCCCTGCTCTTTGGGTAGTCGTAGCACTCGACAGGGTAGGGGCAGACCACAAGCTTCAGCCCTGACAGCTCGGCCACGAGCTGTAGCAGGTTCTCCAGGCTGGACGTGGCGATGCGGTTGCCAGAGAGGCTGAGGCTGTGGAGGAGGAAGCAGCATCTCAGGGCGGGCAGGAGGCCCACGAGGTGCGGATCCCTCAGGCTGCAGTAGTCCAGGACCAGTTCCTGCAGGGAGCCCGAGGCCTCCCTAAGAAGAGCCTTCAGCACTCCTGGAACCATCTGGGAAAGGTCATTTTTGCTCAAATCTAATTTTTTCAGATGTGAGGCCTGAGGGCTCTGGGACAGCCAGCAGATATCATGAATAAGAAGAGCACAGGCGGGGAGCTCCAAGGTCACCAGGGCATCAGGCAGGTATCTGAGGAGAGACGGCGGCATGGGGTCACTCCCAGAGAGCAGGGCTGGGGCAAGAACCTTCTCAGGAGCCACCAGACCTCCTAGCCCCACAGACCCGGGTTAGCCCAGGCCCTAGACGGGGCCCAGGTCCAGTATGTAAAGACCTGCTCTGTGATCAGGTGACTGTGTTCCGGGACCAGCCCCACCCCCGAATGTGTGACACTGGTCGCTGACTCAACCTTTCCAGGCCTCAGTATTCAAGTCTGTAAGATGAATATCTTATTACTTAACATTTAAGTCTTTTCGGGATGTAGAGGTAATCATTTTTAGAAGGCTAAGCACATAAAATAAACAGTAAATATAGTTGGCCCTTGAATATCACAGCTCTGAGCTGCATGGTCCATTTATATGTGGATTTTTTTCAGTAAATACTACTGCAGGACTACATGAACCACAGTTGCTTGACTCCTTATTTGTGGAGAGCCTACTGGAAAATTACCCTCGGAATTTCAACTGCATCCCTACCCCACCCAGGTGTTCAGGGTCAACTCTACTAAAATAGTAGCCATGACCAATGCGTAGAAGTTTGGGGGCTGCTGTCATCTCTAGCTTCCCTTCCACCAGTCATCAGACTCAAGACATTAGATTTCCAAGAGTTCCCTGGAGATATTCTTCAGGGCAGTTGTCACTGGGAGCAGGGGGACAGGGGTGTCAACTATGACCACTACGTTTTACCTTTACTGCTTCTCTTCCCTTATAAATTCACAAGCTCCATTGGGCACACAGTGGGTTCCCAAGAATTATCTGCTGAATCAGTGAATGAAGGTAATTTTCCCTGAGAGGTGGTCTAGCAAGTGGTAAAAGGAACAAACTTCCTGGGTTCACATCTTGGCTGTGTCTCTTACTGGCTGTGTGACCTTAGAAAAGTTCCTTAACCTCTCTGGGTCCTGGTTGCCCCCATCTGTAAAATAGGTGTAATAGAATAGACTTGCTGGAGTACAGGGCCTAGTGGATGTTTCCTGTTGTATGTGTGAGTTTTTTTTATCCCCCCGGCTATAACTTGCCCTCTCTGGGAGTTACCACTCATTAAGGGGCCTTAGACTCTTCAACTGGCTGGGACGTGCATCCAGTGTGTCCTGGCTCAGTCCCCTGCCCTATCCTGACGTGGAGACCATCATTAAGGAATAGGGAGAAGGGCCCCCTGTGCTCACCTGAGAAGGCGGTGCAGGTGGTCTGAGAGGTGGGGAGAGGACAGGCAGAGCATCTGGAGGCGCCCCAGCGAGCTCAGGCGGGAGAGGAAAGAGTTGAAAGCATCGGAGGACGGCAGCCTGTGAACAGCTGTAGTCCCAAAGATGGGCTGAGGCAGCGTGAGATTGCGCAGGTTTTTCATTTGTTCTACTTGTCTGGCAAACTGGCTTTCACCTGAGAACAACCCAAAGCAATCAGACATGTCCAGCTCTTGAATAAATTCCAGTTGCACCAAGTCCAGGATCTCCACAGTCTGGCTAACACCATGTTCCTGATGTGCAGCTTCCCACAAAACAGACGCAGGGGCCGGCAGCTGTGCTGCACTTTCCACAAAATGCAGGAAACTAATGTGTTCCTGTACCAGGTGTCCAAGGAGATGTTTATATATAGATCCAGAGGTTGCCAGTCCTGGGAAGGCTTCTTCCTCAAGCTTCTCCTTTGCCTGACTTTGGTCTTGGGAACCTCTGGTTCCATCCAGGCAGAATATAAGAAAGGGGAGTCAACTGCATCCTCAAAGCTGTAATTAGGCTCTATGAGGTCAGGGTCACGTCTGAAATCGACCTGTGCAATGGGGACTACTTTGCAAGTTGATGACAGTCACCTGGAAACCTGCTCTTTCAGGATGGGGCATTGGTTCTGCTCTAGCTGGAATTTTGGCCACAGAAATGCAACTTCACCTCACAGTTGCCTTCTATCCAGATCAAGCCTGTAGTTTACTCCATTAAAAGTACAAAAAAACCAGCCTTCCTTCAGGATTTGTTCTGTCTAGGTATTTGCACAAATGTTCTCCGGGGTTCCATTTCTGTTGCTAGTGATTACCATCACTGATGCAAGTAAGGAAGGTTGATTCATATAAAAGTACAGGGAAAATGTGCTTCAGGTTCTCGGGATTGACAAGAGCTTTTATGGTGTCTGTCTTTTAACAGCTTAATGAATGAAGTGGTTCATACGTCTCCAACCACAGGAAGCAACGTTGAAGAAACAGTCATGAAGAACACTCATTTTCTCACGTGGGATATTGGCGGTCAGGAGTCCCTGCGGTCATCGTGGAACACGTATTACACAAACACCGAGGTACGCTACAGGTACTTCTGAATTTGAATGAAAACAACCAAGGGGTAAACCCAGAGAACAGACTGGACATAAGGCATAGCGACATAAGATTCTCTTTTGTGAGGAATGTGAGGTCCTCAAGTAGAAGAGAAGGGCAGGCGGGAGGAGCAACGGGGGCTGTGGTCAGTGGAGTGCTTCCTGCAGTCCGGCTCGCTCTCGGCGGCCCCCCAGGGTGATACTGTTAGAGCTCCATTGTTGGAGAAATCGGACACTGGAATAAACCCTGTAACCTTTCCCAACTTTATAAGAGACCCTGGTTAGGGGAGGAATAAAATATTATAAGTGTAATTTAATACAGGATTTTTAAGTAATATGAAATTGAGCATTCACAATTTTGGGGGGACTTTGGTTTAATTGAAAAGCAAATGGATATGCAGGCCAGCCCCTCCCCAGTGTTCTCTTGTCATTTATTTTATTTTCCTGGTTCACAGTCAACCTGGACAACAAATCTGGAATATCTTCTATTTTTGTTTTTATTTCTTACAGGCAGGTTTTTTTGTTTTTTTCGTTTGTCTTAAACTGTGCAGTGTGATTGAGAGAGGTTTGTCCTTGGGACTACTAATGCCTATTTGGGTCTATAATTTTTCTTTGCAAAGAGGTACACAAAATTAATTATTTTTTCTAAATGGAAGCCTCTTAAAACTTTGAGTGTTTTTTGAGGGGTGGGAGTGCGGAGGAGGTGGAGTACTGATGCAAGGAATTCTGAGTGAATAAATTGCCTTTAAAAAAAGAACCATGTATTCCTCTAGGTTTATATTGTAATAGCATACGTGTATGTGCATATATAGTCCAGGGCAGTGTACGAGTGGTCACACCAAGATGGCACGTCATAGATGTTCAGCAGATGTGGGAGCACTAAATTTTTTTTTTTAATTTGCAGGGGGAAGATAAGTTGGGAAGCTAATATTTATGGTTATAGGTTAGTTTCATATATCTTTCTGCAGTAAAATAACATTCCAAAACTAAAATTTGTTAGAGAGAAGGAAAGAACAACATTGCAGCATAGCTGTTGGAATGTTTTCAAAGCTGACAGTTAGCTCCAAGTGTGAAAAGGACATTTATCTTTGGTGAATAGGTAAAAGTTGGTTCTGGCTGATCCACGTATATTTATAGCATTACTAAGTGGTAGTTTTTGAAATTGCTGGAACTTTAGAAGACTCTGTGTGGATCCAGAAAGAGGTACATTATTACTGATGCCATTTGCAGGAAATGTTCTTTAAATAAACTATTTCTACAAGAATATCAAAATTACTGCAAAGAACCTTTGGCCTCTGATGTAAGCCCACCAGCATAGCACATGGCACTTGCAGTTAGACTCTTGTAGGGCTCTCGTCTGTGTGGTGTTTCTTCCATCGCCTTGTTCACCCTTGTCTTGCTTCTTCAATTCTTTACATGGAGGGATCATTCAAAAGCTGAAATGTCTCCATTTTAATACAGCGAGTCAAAGTTGTTGATTAATTCCTGACACCTTCCTCTCATTAATTTATAGTTACCTCCCCATAAGAAACTTTGCCGTGTTTCTTATATTTATCCTTTCTATTTTCTTTTCTTTTATCATTCTCAGCCCTTTCTCAGTTTATATTCAGGTTCCTATAGTTGTCTCTTTCCCTAATTTTAAAGCCATCTGAATAATCTGATTCTACCCTTCCTGTCTCGATTTCTTTTACATCACTGCTCTTCTATAACTCTTGAAACCACTTAATCTCACTTCTTAGCTTTTTCTTCCGCATAATGTGTTCCATTTAGGGGCCCTTTCTCACTTTATCTTCTTATTTTTCTTATCAAAGATACATTATTTTTAATGTATTACCTTCACCTTTTTTCATGCACACCATTACCAATAGCTTTCTCCTGTTCTCTTTGCACTCTTTAATTTCATCTGCATCTTTAGTATGTTATTAACACCCAAGTATATTTCTACTTAGCACATTTTTCTTGCCCTTTTATTGTTGATATTGTCATGTAAAAATGTCTTATTAGTTTTTTTAAACGTGTTTCTTTTTTTTTCTTTGAAACTAGCCTCTTTCTAATAGGCAGGAGACTGTCTTAAACATAATTATCGATTGCTTGAATGAGTACAGAGTACTTTTAAGTTTTAGTCAAAGTTACTTAAATTACTGTGACTTCTTTTTAAAAACTACTTTTTATTACCTGCATTTTAAAATAAATCTTAGTACATATTAGGGTATATTATACATTCAAGCATCACCATTTGAAAATAAACTTGGGCATGGTTTTTATTTGTTGAATTATGAGTTATTTTTCTTATTAACATTTGGATTTTGCTGCTTGATGTGATTCAGTATAATGTAAACTCCTGATGATGAAAAACGCAGTAGACTGTTTTATAGTGATGATGATGCCATCACAGAAAGTACTTCTAGCACTTAGAGTAGTTTTGCAGAGCACCTCACATCCCCTTCAATTTTCTTCCTTATTAAAGCTGAAAATTCTTTAGTGAAAATTTGGGATCATTTTTTGAAATAGTTCTTAAATACAAAGGACTTGGATAATAAAATACATTCATGATCATTTTTTGAAATAGTTCTTAAATACAAAGGACTTGGATAATAAAATACATTCATGTACCCACCAGTCAACATAAGATACTAAATCTTAGACCTCTCCAGTCTGATTTCCTTCCCTTGTCTTCAGAGAATTCTAAAAGAATTCTCTCATCCTAAAGGTGGTGATCATTACTCCTGTGTGTAATTTTATACTTTCATTACTTTTTTTATATACCTATCAGTTCTATAGAATATAATATTCCATGTTGATAAAACAACTGTATATGGTGGTATCCTGTGTGTGTTTGTGTGTGTGTAATCTTTCTGTAACTTGGCTTAGGGGGTTTTTTGTACAAAACTGTGATTTATCTATGTTAGTACATGCAGCTTTAGTTCATTCCTTTTAACAACTACATAGTATTCCACTGTATGAATATACCACATTTCATCTATTCTTCTATTAATGAACACTTAAGTTATTTCTAATATTTTGGTAGTATAAACAGTGCTGCAGTAAGCATTAATCAGTGAGCTTAGGTTATACAAAGACTAGTAAGTATTGCCCAACTGCTCCTGCAGTACTCTCCTTTAAACTTTGGAGAAATAACCAACCCTTAGTTTCATCTCTTCCATTGCCTTTTTAGTGTCTATTTTGTGTATTTCTGCTCCAATCTCATTATTTCCTTCCTTTACTGACTTTAGGCTTAATTTGTTCTTTTTCTAGTTCCTTGAACTATAACCTTAGATTGTTTAAGATTTTTATTGTTTCTTAATGTAAGACTTTGTCACTATTCACTTCCCTGTCAGAACTTCATTTGTTGTGTCCCGTAAGCGTGGGTATGTTATACCTCCATTTTCACCTATCTCTAGATGCTTGAAAATGTCTCTTTCAGTTTCTTCGTTGACCGATTGGTTGTTCAGGAGCATGTTATTTAACCTCCACATATTCGTAAATTTTCCTGTTTTCTTCTAGAAATTAATTTCTTCTGGTAATTGATTTCTAGTTTCATACCATTCTGGCTTGCTTGATATGATTTCAGTCTTAAATTTATTAAGGCTTGTTTTGTGGTTTAACATGTGATCTATCCTGCATTATGTTCCATGTGTGCTTGAGGAGAATGTGTTCTGGATGGATGTTCTATAAACGTCTTAATTCTAACACACCCCAAAGAGCTACGTCACCCTAGCAAATTCCTTTAGCCCTTTGGGGCTGTTTCTCCACTGTGCAATGGGAAGAGGAAAGACATCAAATGAATTCCAAAATCCCTTACTGCTCATCAAGTAAGAATTAAGTCTCAAAGTTTCCTTTACCTTAATTTAAATTCAACAAACACTTGTATTCATCCTAGGCACTGAACATTTCCAGCCACCACCAGGAAGGTAACTATGGTTTAGCAAAATGAGACTCAATTCCATAGTACTTTAAGTTCCACACAGAAAAATTAATATGCAAAACTAAAGGACTTAACTTTAAAGAAAACTCTACGAAGACATCACAAACCTAATGTGATAAATAAAAGTAATTTAGGGTATACCTTAAATTATTACTCTCACTTTTTTATTTGCTGGAATGGAAGATGAGGCCTAAAATAGTTACACTGTTAAGTCTATAACAAAAGACTCATGAGCCATTTAGGTAAAGCAACTGACGCCACTTCTAGGGGGGAAGAAAAAGAAATGAGCAGTAAATTTCTCTTCCCATGGGAGTTTTATGCCAGGCCTTAGAATTTAAGAAACTTGTATCATTCTGAAACAGGGGAATAAAATTTATTCTGAGAGGTGTTTTACAGTGATAAGCATTAATATAAGACGATAATTGAGCATGTTCTCCACATTACTTTTGAATTTCATGTATCGGATTTATACTCTCTAAAAATAAAATGTAATTTAAATGCTTGAATCTTGTATGCTAGACCTGAGGAAACTGTAGCTGAAATATTAACTGAAATTAAATGAAAATCTTAACTACAAAGTTTCTTCTCTTCTTCCATGAGGAAATCATTACCAATAGATTTTTTGATACTGATTTTTAAAAGACTTATTTTTGCAAATAACATTCTGTAGATTCAAAATGTATTTAAAATCATGACTAAGAGCTCCCATGGCTTCCCAAAAATTCATTTGTGGTTTACCCTGTTACCATACCTGTCATATACTATTCACTTACATTATAAAATTTTAGAATACACATCTTAGATGATAAAACATCAACAATATAAAAAACCTTTCCCTTTTGAGTTTGAAGAGACAGAAAAGACACATTGAAATATTTTTTCTTAAATGTCTGAAGTAAACAATATAATATTTTTTAAAAAATCAGCAGCTGTATAAACAGCTCATACAACTTAATAAAAAGACTAACCATCCAATCCAAAAATGGGCAGAAGACCTAAGCAAGCAGTTCTCCAAAGAAGACATACAAATGGCTAGTAGGCACATGAAAAAATGTTCAATATCGCTAATTATCAGAGAAATGCAAATCAGAACTACAATGAGGTATCACTTCACATCAGTCAGAAAGGCCATCATTAAAAAGTCCACTAATGATAAATGCTAGAGGAGGTGTGGAGAAAAGGGAACCCTCCTACACTATTGATAGGAATGTAGTTTGGTGCAGTTGTTATGGAAAACAGTATGGAGATTCCTTAAAAAAACTGAAAACAGACTTTCCATATGATCCAGCAATCCCACTCCTAGGCATATATCCAGAAGGAACTTTAATTCGAAAAGATACCTGCACCCCAATATTCATAGCAGCACTATTTACAATAGCCAAGATGGAAACAACCTAAATGTCCATTGTCAGATGACTGGATAAAGAAGTTGTGGTATATTTATACAATGGAACACAATTCAGTCATAAAAAATAATAAAATAATGCCATTTGCAACAACATGGATGAACCTAAGAGTGTCATGGTAAGTGAAATAAGCCAGAAAGAGAAAGAAAAATACCATACGATATCATGTATGTGGAATCTGAAAAAAAAAAAAAAAAAGACAAACTTATTTACAAAACAGAAACAGACTCACAGACAGAGAAAACAAACTGATGGTTACCAGTTGGGGAAGAGCTTAGGAAGGGGTAAATTGGGAGCGTGAGATTCACAGATACAACTACTATATATAAAGTAGATAAACAAGTTTCTACTGTACAGCACAGAGAACTATATTTAGTATCTTGTAGTAACCTATAATAAAAAATATGAAAATGAATATATGTATGTATATGTATGACTGAATTATTGTGTTGTATACCAGAAATTGACACAACATTGTAAACTGACTATATTTCAATTAAAAAAAAAATCAACAGCTGTGTTATATGGGCTTTTTTTTCTTTTTGGTCCTAAAAGATGATAGAGAGTAAACTATGCCCCCAACATAAGTTGTGTGCAGAGGTCCAGAGAGCCACAGAAATGTGCTTTAAGCATATATTTATGGCAAGCATAGTGTGAACCAGAGGCAGAAGGCCTGGATCCTATTTCTGTTGTTAAAAACTTGATATGTGATTTTTGGGCAAGTCACTCCACCTTTCTGATCTGCTCCTTTATCTGTGAAACAGGAGGAACCATCTGACCTAGGATTTCTTCCAGTTCCTATAATTAACATCTGTGTGAATCCTCAATACTGCACCTGAGGGGCACAGGACATGGGCAGAAGCACTCACAGGAGAGCGCTTACTCTGCTGGTCATGCATGCTGCCAGGACGGGCCGGATTCTGCAGAGAGCCGGACACTAAATGGCCTGGCTTCATGCCTTGGTCAAAGAACACCATCGATGACTATGAGGGCACTTAAAGAGACTCAGCAAGAAACAAACTATTTTCTGAACATAGTCCAAGAACTAGGTAGGGGGTATGTGAGCCTTCACAACCTCAGACCCCTTGTGTTTCCAGCCTTTTATCTTGGCTAGCAGAAGGCCTGAGTTCATTTAGGTGACCTGTACTTTCTAAGCCTTCAGAGACATACTTCTGAAAATAAATGGTTCTCATCCCCAGCCCCTTGTCTGACCCTTGAAAATACATATACTTTTACACAGCAGCTATAATACATGCAGCACTCAGGACACCTTCATTAGACAGTTCAGCATAGTGGTTAAAGTATGAAATGAGCACAAATCCTGGCTCTACTACTTAGCTGCTTTGTGATCTTGGGAAAGAAACTTAATCTCTCTGTTCTTCAGGTTCCTTTTTGGTAAAATAGGGAAATTAATAAAACCTAATTTCATACAATGTTGTGAGGATTGATCAAGATAATGCATGCAAAGCAGTTAGCATGGAGCGTAACATAAAATATATGTTAGTAAGAGATAGATAGATAGATAGGATCCATCTTTCAATCCTGGGACCTGGGACTCCCTGAAAAGGCTTATGTGAAGGCCAAAAGCAATTTTCTGGAAGTAAATGGCATCTGCTGATCTTTCCTCTTCTGAGCGAACAATATGGCAAAGATTCAAAGCTAGGCTCAGCTCTTACTAATAGGATCCTGCAGGAATCAGGAGGAAATGAGATTATCCTTAAAGTAGGAAAGAGTTATGCTGGTTTCAGACAAGATCCTTGTGAAAGAGATAGAAGGACACACACACACACACACAAAAAAACATTTAATATGGTCCTACAGAATCGAAGGAAAAGGGCTGCTTTTCATTTATGCCTTCTCAAGCATTGCCAGTATTAAAAGCTGCAGAATTTTAT